TAATGTATATTTATTATGTACAACATGATGGTTGGGATACATATACATTGTGAAATGATTATCACAAATAAGCTACTTAACATATCCATCACCTCACATAGATGCCATTATATTGTGTATGGTGAGAAAATTTAAGATCTACACTCTTGGCAAATTTCAAGTATACAATACAGTATGATTAACTATAGTCACCATGCTGTATATTCGATCTCCAGAACTTATTCATCCTGCATAGTTGAAACTTTGTACCCTTTGACCAACATCTCCCCATTTTCCTAACCCACCCCCATCACCTTGCAACTACACCCCTATCCCCTGATAACCACCATTCTGCTCTCTGCTTCTACGAGTTTGACTTTCTCGGATTCCACAAATAAGTGAGATTATGCACTTGTCCTTTTGTGCCTGACTTATTTCACTTAGCATAATGACCTCCAGATTCATCAAATGTTGTCAGACAAATGACAGGATTTCCTTCTTTTTAAAGACTCCATAATATCCCATTGTGTGTGTGGCGTGTATGCATATAGACACACATACACACCACATTTTCTTTATCCATTTGTCCATTGACAGGCACTTAGGTTGATTCCATATCTTGGCTATTGTGAATAATGCTGCAATGAACATGCATGTGCGGTTATCTCTTTGCATTACTGATTTCGTTGTCTTTGGATATCTATCTAGAAGTGGGATTATTGGATCATATGGTAGTTCAGTTTTTTTAAATCTTTGAAGAAACTCAGAAAGTACTGTTTTCTATAATGGCTTTATCAATTTACATTCCCATCAGCAGTGCATACAGGTCCCTTTTCTCTACATTCTTACCAACACTTGTTATCATTTGTCTTTTTTGATATTCTAACAGATCTGTGAGGTGATATCCTGTTGAGCACTTTTTCATGTACCGTTGACCATTTGTATGTCTTCTTTTGAGAAATGTCAACTCAGGTCCATTGCCCATTTTTTAATTGAGTTATTTCTTTTCTTGCTATTGAGTTCTTTATACATTTTGGATATTAACCACTTATAACATGCATGATTGGTAAATATTTTCTCCCATTTTCTCTTCACTATGTTTGTTGATTGTTTCCTTTTCTGTGCAGCAGCTTTTCAGTTTGATGCAATCCCCTTTGTCTATTTTTGTTGCCTGTACTTTTGGGGTCATACCCCAAAATATCATTGCCAAGACCAATATCGAGACATTTTCCCCTAAGTTTTCTTTCAGTAGCTTTACAGTTTTCCTTAAGTTTTAAATCTTCGATCCATCATTTGGAGTTGATTTTTGTATATGGAATCAGATGAGGGTCCAATTTCATTCTTTTGCATACGGATATGCAGTTTTCCCAAAACCATTTATTGAAGAGATTATATTTTCTCCTTGTGTCTTGGCACCTTTTTCAAAGTTCAATTGACCACTGTTATGGTTTGCTTTGTCTCTGACAGAACTCATATTGAAATTTGATCCTCAGTGTGACAGTGTTGGAGGGTGGGACATAGTAAGAGGTGTTTGGGTCATGAGGATGGATCCTTCATGGATACATTAATATCTTCTGGAAGGAAGGAGTGAGTGAAAATATTGTTTCACTCAAGGGGGTGGATTAGTTCCTGAGACAGTGGTTTGTTATAAAGAGTCTGACTTCCTTGGTTTCTCTCTCTTGCTTCCTTTCTCATGAAATGATCTCTTTGCACACACAGCCTCCCTTTCCACTTCCCTCTATGAGTTGAAGTAGCCAGAGGCCTTTATTGGATGTACATGCCCAATCTTGAACTTTCCAGCCACCAGAACTGTGAACTAAATAGTCTTTTCTTTATAAATTACCCTGTCTCAGGTATTCTGTTATAGCAGCACCAGATGAACTAAAACAACCATTTATTTCTTGACTCCTTATTCTATGTCTTTGGTCTATATGTCTGTTATTAAGCCAGTACCATACTATTTTAATTATTATAGCTTTGTGGTATATTTTGAAATTGGCTACTGTGATGCTTTATGCTTTGTTCTTTTTACTCAAGATGGTGGTGGCTATTCCAAGTCTTTTGTGGTTCATATAAATTTTAGGATTGTTTTCTCTATTTCTGTAAAAAATATCATTGATTGGAATTTTGATAGGGATTGCATTGAATACCCAGAGGGATCACTTTGGGTAGTATGGACATTTTAACAATATTGATTCTTCAAATCCATGAACAAGGATCATCTTTCCACATATTTA